ATTTATTATGTCTCTTCCAGTCCCAGCTGTTCCCATGTAGAGAGATCAATACATACAACACCTGTCTTGTAGTTTTCCTGCTTTCTTCCTTCATGACAAGAGTTTCAGGAGGTCAAATATCATCTTTATTAATTTTGAAGAAATCTATAGTTTTTCATTTGCTATGGAAGCAAAGACAAAATCTCTCCCCCAATGCAACCCATTTTCTGACTTCCCTTCTGAAGTTAAGACATCCTTAAAATATATAGGCTGGTTTAATTCAGCAGTATTTTCCACAATCCATTGTCTCTTGGCAGCTGTTGGTTTTTGCTTATTAGCATTTAAAAAGTTAAGGTTAATAAAGCATTATACAGGGCCTATCCATCCTGTTTTATGGTATTTCCCATCTTTATGTGGCTTATTCATTTTATATTACTTTACTATCTCTATAAAAATTTCATTTTAGGGCTGGAGAGTTGGCTCAGAAGTTAAGAGCCCTGACTGACTGCTTTTCCAGAGGTCCTGAGTTCAATTCCCAGCACCCACATGGTGGCTCACAACCATCTGTAATGAGATCTGGCGCCCTCTTCTGGTGTGCAGGCAAACATGCTGCATATATAACAAATATTTAAAATAAAAAAATTTTAAAAATTAATTTTATTGTTTTCAAACTATTTTTATGACTGTTTATAGCCATTTTTTTTCTTCTTCAGGAACTAAGCACATTTTCAAGCATACTTTACCTGTTCAGAGCTTTTCTCAGTCTGGACCTAGCTTTCTATGCACCTACAGCTATTCTCTGACCACGTGAGCTAAGCCTTAAAGGGCAAGGCCACCTCTGTGCATCTGTAGCTTCCTTATGCAGGTCTTAGCATATGGCACAGGTGGCTGGCTCCGCCCCCCCTCTTGGGTCAGTCCTGCAGACTTTTCCACTGTTTCTGAGCTACAGCTGCTGCTTGCCCTTCTGTAAGAGCTGAGCCTTGCACCCAGGGGCACTGGAGGGGAGCCATATCTACCCACCCCAGCTCTGGGAAGTTGCTGGGCCCACACTTGGCAGGTATTTCTACAAAGTCTACCACCAAGTAGTGCACCACTGCTCACAGGCCCTATATTTAGATATTTGTGTCTCCATGTTGACACCAAATATAGTCTTTCTTTGAACTTCCAGCTCCCAAATAATGACATGGAGATTTTTTTTGTGATGCATTTTAATATAATAGTTTATCTGGTGAAAATTTCCAATCTTTTTTTAATTAATTAATTAATTTGTTTGTTTGTTTATAAAAATTTCCACTTCCTTCCCTCCTCCCCATACCCTCCCATTTCCCCCACTCCCTCTCC